TCTGTTGTACCATCCTCCCTTATAAAAGGCTTTTCTCAAACTGAGATCTCTCCAAGAGATAAACCTGATTGCTCTCCACGTGCCCAGGCTGTTCAGTGCAGAGCAGGACTCTGCTGCCGGGTCACCACAGGCACATTCCTCCTGCTCCTCCCTGGATGGGGAAAACTGATTTGAAGTCTAGCAGCCTGCCCAGATCAATGTAAATCTTTCCCTTCCAGCAAATTTCAGCAACCTTCCTTTTAGGTTCTGGTTTTTTTACATGAAGGAAGACTTTTTATTTCTCCATCAAAAAAGTCCTAGCCTGGAGTCCTTCAACAACTCCAGCTTATAAACTAGACTCTGCAGTTGTAACTAGAATTATCTGAAATACATTTTTCTTCCCAATGTTTTCTGAACTGGCAAAGCCAGTGTTGGGAAGAGGAATCTCTGCTCTAGAGACAACATTCTAAGGGATGGGTGTGTGTAATTGCCTTGTTTCTGACTCACATCTGTGTTTCAGCTTTAGTGTTTTCTCTTTAAATTGAAATTGCCAATGCTGTGACAAGTAAGGGCAAGATGGGAGGACAAAGAGCCATTTCATGGCTGTGTGACTTGTGTGACTGTTCCCAATCCATTTTCTAGTGTTCAGGAAGGCAGGTATTAAATGGAAAAGCCTGAATGCACACCTGGAGTCAGCATCCCTGTCAGAGATAGCGGTCCATGTTTAGAGCAGATTATTAACACATCCAGGGTTGTGTTCAGTTCTGCTCTGTCCTCCTGGGACAATGGGAACGAAACATTTCCATGCACCACATCTGAGTGCCTCCCTAAACATAGAGAACATCACCTTCCCATCTCACCAGACATCCCTTTCGGAGCTACGAGTGTCAGGCAAAGGGAAGGAATGTTGCAGAGGGCACTGCCCACACTGGATTTCTTCACTTGTGAGCACAAGAGCTTTATTTCAGTGTCTGTCAGTTTGATGTTTTTTACCACTAATTGGGAACATCTTCTCTATCCTGTATTTTGATTTTTTTACCATTTTCCAGTCTCCTCAGCAGCTGGAGACTAAACAACTACTGAGCTATAAAAATGGAAAATGTTTTTTAGTACACTTTAATGATGATTTCCTTGTCTGCGTCACATTCATGGCAGTGTGTAACCATTTATTGTTAAAGACTACCCATTTAGGAGAATAACACATTGGTTTATTACTGGGTTTGTCAGTGTGGAGTTGATTTTACACCAAGGGCAGAGGGAGCTGTGCAGGCACTGACTCAGGGCATCGAATCCTGCAGCAATATTTAATTGGAACAGTGTCCCTGTTTTTTGAAACTAAAGATGGGCTATCCAATTAAACTTTCAAATACCATGAAACTTATCAGCATGTCTAGGAGTAAAAATAACACCATCCCAGCCCTCAGTGTTATGAAAGTGAGACGGAAGGTCAGTTTGGATGAGCTATCAGGGGGAACATTCAGTGATACAGCAACAAGACAGATAACTTCTTGGTCAAAATATGAGAAAAGAGCTTCTGATTTTGTTACAATGCCCAAATCCAGACTGTTCAGTGGAGTTAGTGGGACAAACTCTGCCTGCAATAGGATCTCAAATGCTGTCATTAATCTATGGCTCCAAATACATTTTATCCTATTTTTCTATTCTTGCATTCCTTCCAGCCCCGTTTTCCAAAAGTTTCCTCAGCCAGTTCCAGTATGGGAATGGTCAGTGAAATACTGGTGCCATTTCTCAGAAAAGAGAGAAAAATAAATGGTGGAATTCATCCTTGAATTTCATCAGTTACATGCACAAACAGGCAAGGAAGTAATATAGCAGCATAATTCTTCTGGGCATCCTTGAAACTCTCAATGATACATTTAATTTGGAACCATTAAAATGCCATTACATGCTAAATACTTTCTGATACCTAAAAGCACAGTGAATTGTGCATTAAGACTTAACAATCATCTTATGCAATAGGTAATTATCTTCCCAGTATTTTGATTTTTAATCTCAAATCATTTCCCATAATGACACTTCTTTTGTTGTCCCAATAATAACTGTCTACTAAATTTAGAAAGAATTATACATCTTGGGTGTAAGCATTGCTACCCTGTGTTGTCAACCACTACTGCAGATTCAGACACTCTCAGGAGGAAGCTTAAACAAGCTGTACTGACCTTTAGCTGTCATCCTATGTAATATTTATCGATCCCAGGGTTACCAAAGCACTGTACATACACTGAGCTAGAAGGCAGCTTTAGCCACTTGTGGGACATAAAATGTATCTGGGAACCCGTGAGTGAGCTGCCAACACCTTGGATCTGCATCCCCTGACTTAGCTGGTACAAAGGGTGGTGAGTTTTGTGCCAGTCTAAATAGCAAGATGGGAGTGGGGAGTGTTTTGTTCAATTCAGCACAACTGCTGCAGTGACTTTACTATCATTTTTTATTTCTTTTGTATCATCTAACCTATTGTTAGCAACCCACTGAGATCTGACACTGAATAATTGTCTTCACAGATAAATATACTTTCTGAAATCCTTATTTTACTGCTTTAAAACCGAGCACACATTTCCTGGTGTATGTATCGCTAAAAATAAGCAATCTAGGAGTAAATGAGGATGACTTAGAAATCAGAGGAGCTTTTAGATTGAGTCATAGAACCATGGAATGGTTTGGGTTGGAAGGGACCCTAAAGATCATCTCATTCTGACCCCCTGCCATGCACAGGAGTCAACAGATACAATCCAAACCGGGAGGAGGATGGGACTGTATCGGTCACACACAGCTCACGCTCCAGCCAGAGCTGCGGAAGCTGTTCCCATCACTGAAAATTATCGGGATGTGAATCACAAGCACATAGCAGATTTTATTAGATTTGTTCTTTGTGCATGTCCTCTCCCTGTGAAAACCATCAATGCACAATTCTGTGACAGAATGTCAGCGTAGATACGTTGGAGAAGAGCAGATGCAATGGTGCCGGTGCGGAAGATATTATTTCAGCCCAAGGAAAATTACACATCCTCATTCCGGCTGACAACCTAAACAATGCCATGCTTGAAACATAAATGATACACTGTTTAGCTGGAAAAGCCATTAGGCGTGTGATGGAGGGTGGAAGTGAGCTAACAGCCTCCCCAGAACAAATAGCGCTTTGCATTTTACATAAGCAAGTTGACAGGGTTTTAAAAATTTACTTCCAGATTTTGCTTTTTGAACAGAAAACAAAAATTCAACAGCAAGAATGGAGACCTGACATCGCTCCACACTGTGAAGCTTGCTCTTCTTCCTGCTGGTACACCTCCAAAATGGGAAACGTGTTGATGGATCCACCCAAGAAATTTCCAGCCATTTCTCAGCGGCCAAACAAGTCTTCAGTATTCCAGCACTTTTCTGACTGCTTGTCCAACTTTTATTCAAATCTTTGTTGGTCTTAATCCATTAATAATATTATGAAGCCATTTTGCTAAAACTTTAGTAAATCAAGGTACATTTCGCCTTTTATCAGGAATGTAATTAAACAATTACAGGATGCAGGAGAAAAGGCCAGTCTCATGTTGCTCTCATATTGATCTTCTTTTACTGCCTTTTTATTTTAAATTGGAGTAATAGAAAATAGATTTGGGAGAACTTTCAACAGGCCTTCCAGTCCATCCTTTGCCCTAAGGCAAAATATACTTATACCAGTTCTGACAGATATTTGTCTCATCACTATGATTGTTTTTTAATACCTGCAATGATGGCAATTCTGTGTGCTCTCTAGACCACTTATTCCTTAAAAATAGAAATTGTTACCTAATGTCTAGCCAAAATGTAAGCCCATTATTTTCTGTCCTCTGAAGTGGATGCAGAAGGAATCACTGCACGAAGGAGAAAGTGAGGGTCAAAGCAGGGTGGTAGAGACACATCAGACTGTCCACCCACCTAGACTTACTGATATCGTGGCAGAGGCAAACTAGTGTAAAAGGGACTTGTGGGAGGATTAAACTCCAGTTCTGCTGAAGAGCTCCACAGCCTCCTTCCTTACCCTCTCAGGACCCCCCTGGGGTGTGCAGCAGCCAGGTTGGGGGTGCAGGAGGGGATCAGGCACAGCTTTAGCACCACAGCACAGCGTGTCCTGCTTTGCTTTGCCAAGAGGGAAAACTTGTGTTCAGCAGCAGATTGTGAAACAAAGAGTTTACTTATGAAAATAAAAAACACAGTACTTTGTGTCTGACATACTGAACTGCCTTTTATGTTACATTTCTTTCCCATTGAAAGCAGTTTCAAGTTAGAAACAAGTGGGGATGAGGTGGAACTTGTTTGCATGTTTTTAATGTCAACATTTCTCACAGAAAGATGAGGAACTGAAGGTGATCTGCCTGATTTCAAGTAGGCTGGGTGTAGCTACTGTACATTAAAATATTCATCTTTTCCACTAATTGCTGTGTGGGAGTTATTCACAGACTGAAAGAACCTTTTGTATTTTCTATCGTACATACCAGCTCTAAAACATCGCTCCATTATATTATTTTACTCCTCTGTCACTGGTACAGGTTAGTATTTCACTATATTATCAATCATAAAAAAAATCTTTACTTGAATGATACACAGACAAGGGCATTCAAAACTGAAACTGGGATTTGGTTGAACAGGAAAGTTACCAGTTCAGACACATTTGCTGAAAGAAAGCCTCTCCTTTGTAGGAGAAGAAACTTAAGTCTCTCTTATGATGTTATGAAATGGAGTTTAACTCTTGCTGTATTCACAACAAAGTAATACTAAAAGTCAAACTTCTTAATTGCCACCTCCAAAGATGGTAGGATTTTATCTGCTATTGTTCTGTTTATTTTGTGGGTTTTTTTTAGGAGAGATAATCTGAAACTTGTTTCATACACATAGATAACCCATTAGACATGGGAATTTCAGTTTTTATTGTTTCCACATTCCATTTGAAGGTACTGGGCAACATTTTCAAACATTTAAACGCGCATCTACATCTCTTCAGAGATCTAAAACCAAATCATCAGAGCCAGCACATCTGAAAATTAAAACATTCATCTTGGAGGCTGAGTCCAACTTCTTGATGTCCAAGTTGGTCAAACTCCATTTCAGAAAAAGTAAGGAAAGATATGTCCATGCCTGAGACAGTCAACCAGCAGGCTAAAAAATATCACTTGAAACTCAGTATTTATGTGTGTTAGGCTCTGACAATAAGTATCAGATGAAGAAGAAAACAGAGAAATGGCAGGAGGGTGTAAAAGGTAAAAAAAGGATGAACTATGAGAGGGACTAATGATGAGGGAGAGAATGTTTCCAGTCTCTGTTTAACATGAGGACTAATCTTGGAAACATGGGGGCAGCAAATCCTTGTGTGGTCAGGATTGAAATTCCACTGAAGCCTAGAGTTGAGTCATGGGATAATTGTGTCCAGAGTGATAACTGTACATTAGAAGTAATTATTTGAACAATGCTTGTTTTCATACACAGAGGAGAACCATCACTGGATAATCAGAAGAAAATAAATTCAGTATCAGTGTAAAAATCCTGCTTTCTGTGGATAGTGCAGTCCTGTATCCATGGTTAGTGTTCTTTGTGAACAAGGATGTTTGGTCTCACCATCTTCTGGAGATACAGCACTGGGGTTGTAATGGACTTCAGCTACAGGAAAGAATTGGGAAAAAATTTCCATTATAATGATTTGGTTTAATATATTTAGAAAGAATCCTGTAAGAGTCTATGCAGAACTCACTGTTTTAACATCTTTGGGGAAGTAACACAAATCAGCATGTTTCCAAAAACAACCAGGAACGTTTGGTGCTATTCCTGTTTCAGAAAATGGCTCTACAACAATTTCTTCATCTTGGAAGGCAAAACCTTCTGCTGGGATTCTTCTGGATTAAAAAGACTCACAGCAGGGCCTGTTCAGCTTTCTGGAATCCCCAAGATCTCAACTCTTTTGGGAATGCAATTCCAGTTAGGAGCACTATCGTCTATCTCAAGACTATGATGCTTCCTAACTGGAAGTAGGTCCCATGTGAGAAGCAGCCAGCTGGCCCAGGGTAGAATATCTCTTAGATGCCTAAGATGGAAGCTGAGCAGAGTTCCCTTCCTTTTGGAGAAGAGCCATCCCAGGATTTTAAGGGCTTTCTTCCTTAGTACAAGAGAAGCCATGTGTAATGCAGCCATTAACCCCAAACCACACTCTGGCACAGACAAAGCAGTGAAAGATTTCCTATTTATTTCCATTGGTTGGGATTTGACAGTCACCATATGGAACCTATTGCATTCCAGTCTATGCAGTGCACACTGTTTTTCTTACCAATCTTAAAATTCCTATCTGGAGAAGACCTGGGAAGGAAATCTGAACCATTGGAAGTTGAACTTGTTCCATTAGAATTTAGACTCTGCAAAGCCTGGGATGGTGATTTGTGGTTTAAATGCTTTGGTGTAGATCCTGCAGTTGCACCTGACCCACTCCAGTCTGAAATCAGAGAGTGGAAGGCACAGGAACAAAATTCTGTACAGATGTCACATCTCAAACAGCCAGAGAATAACCACCCCTCAGACAGCCAGAGACAGCAAGACATCTCCCTTCTCCTTCCCAGGATGAGCAAACCCAGCTCCTGCACATAAGAAATAGCTACTAGCATGCCCAATATTCTGCATAAATTTCAGAATCTCAGCTTTATGAAGATTGGAAAGCCACCAAAAACATTGCTCACATAAGGGAACACTGAATGGCATGTGAGAACAGAATTAGAGACCAAGCTAAAATCGTTTTTGGAAATCTGCAGTTTTTACTGCATGCTGTCAACCCATCATCATATCATATAAGCAGTTAATGGGAGAGGATAAAGACTCATTAAAGAAGAATCATCCAATGCAATGCAGAAAGGCTACTTAATGTAGAACAAATGTGACACCAGTAGCAGACAAAGACTCATGAGTCAAGCTAAACAAACCCCCTCAGTGCTTACCAGAATAGTTACTCAGACGGAATCTTCCCCAGCAGAAGTGTACTCGGCACTGCTTCACTACCTCGTCCTTCATCAGGCAGTGAAACACAAAGATAAAGAACCCTAGAGAAGCAAGAGGAGAGTTTCATGTGTTTTCAGATGTATTCTCCAATCCAGTATCCCTTTTCTAAATGTTTGGCATGCCCCTGATACCAGTAATGTTCTGCATGGGCAGAGAGGTGGTCCCTGGGCCAGCATTGGGATCTTTAAGGTCCCTTCCAACCCGACCCATTCTGTGATTTTATGATCCTGTTGGCCCAGAGTGGCACCAAGTCCTTTGTGCATATGGAAGGCTGATAGGAAGAGGTTTCTGCAGATTTTTCATAAGAATAATCTGCAAGTCACTGTGGATTTTATCAACCATTTTTACGCCCAGATGAAAAGGATTGTCCCAGCTCCTAAAAGGGTGTGTTTATTGGGACCCATGTTTCCAAGGCATGAATTCATGTCTTTAAGTCTATAACAGCAATGCTGTCTAAACAACACTGTCATCCCACTGCAACAGAGCCTTCCTTTTAAAATAGCTAAACCCTGTAATACAGAAGGTCTCCTTCCCCCATGCTTGAATTACATGATGTTACAAATTTATTTCTATTTCGCAGCCCCAAATTGTTGTATTTATAGCACTACTCCATTGAGAAATTACCTTGTAAGGTGTTAAAAATGCTGAAGAGATACAAGAAAAATATCCTCACTTCTCCCCAGGCAAAAAAGGCAAAGCCCCAAGTTAAACCCAAAAGGAACATCAAGCTGAAAGCACTTTTGAGGTCTTGGAGAACACTCCGTTTCCAGAATCTGGATCTCTTTTGTTTCCTTGTCTTCAGAGAGTGGATTTGGAGGAGAACAGTGATGAACATGGCTGTATTTGTCAAAAATATTAAGAAGAAATAGGCCACAACAGAGATGTAGAACACTCCGCTGTCCTGAATCCAGCAGCTGCAAGAGAGGGAGGTGTGGATTCAACATAAGGAGTTTGTGAGAGGGAGACTCAGGAAGCCTGGTTCCCCAAATAAGTATCCTGTATGCTTCTCCAACCCTCAGGGCATACCCTAATGCCCATTATTTTCACCCAGTGAGGACATTTATGGAATCTCTCTGCTTGCCTTTTTTGATGGATGTTACGGATATTCATTAACTTTGAGACGTTACTATTTCTGACAAATTCAGATAAACATGACAATTGTTTCACAACTTAATGATGTATACGCACGAAGACACACTGCCTTAGGAAAATCAAGTTAAATATGACTTAATTAGGAGTTCTAAATAATAGTATGCCACTGGTTAGCTTTTCCTTAGACGTAAATTAGTGTCTTTTTGCTAACAATGGGTAAAAATTTTCCCTCTGAGGTGTCACAGGGGTGTGTTGCCTCTCTGATGGGATAGATTTCAAATATTCCAGGTAATCTTCACCAACAAGTGATCAGATTGTGCTAAACAGAAAGCAGGTGAAAAAAAATGGAAGCATTTTTGCTATAAAACCATTTTAAAAAAGGATGAAAGAACGCAGTGTTTTCCCACTGGAAAAGAGAGGAGGCTGAGATGATTTAAATAAAAGAATTTGAAATTATGATGAGACAGTGATGTGAATTGACATTAAAAAAACCAAAAAAAAAAACCAAAAAAACCCAAAATAAAACACAAAAAAACCCAACAAAACAAAAAAAAAAACAGAAGCAAACATGCAAAATCCTTGAGCAATTATTGTACCTTCACATTTTACCAGAAACCCAGAACATGAAGGAGCATGTACAAATGTCCCATCAGACTGAGCCAATGTCATGTAAAGAAAGAGATTTCAGAGAAAACAAACAGGGAGTTGACTGGCAGAAGCCTTCCCTGTCCTCAAGCCCAGTTCACTGATGTGAGAGTTACTCCATGCAGGAGCCACGCATCCAAAATGATTCAGTGAACCAGAACCACTAAAAGGAGAGGGTAAAGACGGGGAGAAAAGACAAAAGCAAGAGAGAAGTTGTTGCCTTCTGGTTATTTCTTGTCTCTTTCAGATACTCTGGTGACCATCCAAAAGCTTAAAGCATTATACTTACAAATTGCTGTAAGGATTGTTCTCAGAGTGCGACCCATTGCCATAGAAGTCTTTGTTTATAATGAGCACAAGAATAATTACAATAGCTGGTATTCCTAACGTGGAAAGAAAGGAAAAAAGAAATATTTTGATTTAAAAGAAAAAATGGAGAATATGGAAAGATGTCAGATAATCTCTGATGAGTAATTACAGCAGACATATGCATCTTAGGATCAAACTCTAGCCCCAAAATCTCCTTCTGAAACAAGTGTAATTAAATATATGGCATAGCAGGTCGAATCTCCCTATTTATGTAAATCACAAATGAGTAGGCATAAAAATATCCGTGTTTGCAAAATGTTTGTGAGTGTTCAAACATCTCCAGAAGGGATCCAATCTGGCAAAATAAAACCAACTGATTATTACAAAAGCTGAGTGTCAAAAGATAAGCAAACCACAGCATTCTGTGTTAAGAGCTTATAGAGACAGACGTTTTCCAGGCAGTGTTTTATCAGTCTTCCCTTCCACTCATTTCCCATCTCCCACATTTTTTTCAGTCCTGTCTTTTCTGTGGAGAACAGCTGCTGCCAACAACACCATCATGGATGGCTGCCCCTGAGAACAGTTGTGTGCAATGTCAGATCTGAGGATAGAGAAGACAATGCACTGCACACTATTCAAGAGCCAATCCCCCCCTTTAAAACAGCATCTAATGGTGACCCAAATAATGCAGATCAAATTCTGCTCTAGGTCAGTGCCTCTGATAACACCTTTTCTAACAGCTGAACCAGCCTATGGGCTCTTTTTTGTGTGTTTCTCCCAGACAAGCCTCTGATGCTTGTCCAGGGAAGTGCTCAGGAGAGCAATGAATGAAAGACAAATCCCCCCTGTGTGGGGGAATCATGAATAGAATGCCAGGTATTCTGGACACAGGGCTTGGAGAAGGAACTAAAACCACTTTTGAGCATCCCCAGTGCAAGGGTGAAGGCTGTGGGCAGCTCATACTGTCGCAGGCACACACACTGATGTGAGGTACCCTGATAAATCATTACTGTAAGAACAGGAGGGGTAGGAGAGCAGTTCCTTACACCCACTTTTCATTTGACTGTGCAGGGAGCAACAGGCACTTTATGCTAATGTTTCCCTGAGCAGAAGAAATTTAAGCTGAACCTGCCTGGGGGGAGAGATCCATCCTTACAGCTCAGGTCATTTCTGCTAGCTCAGTGTCCTCACTTGCTTTTGCAAATATGCCCCAATCTTAGAGAAGTTGACAAGCCCAGAAGTGAGGAAGAAATCTGCTTGCTTACCCCAGCCAGCAATGCAGCATTTTAGGATGTACTTTGGGACATAAACATTGAAAACTTTGACAAGAGCCAAGTAAAAGTGAACAGACTCCAGGCACATCCACGTGAAAGCTGCAAGAAGGAAATAGTGAAGGAGCGTGGCCATGGTGATGCAGAGGCCTGGCTGGTTGAATGAGGACAGCCAGGAATTGGTGAGGAAGACCATGTTCAGCATCAGCAGTGCAGCACAAAGGTTGAGCAGGATTTTTGAAGGATTGTCTCTCCGCAGCTTCCTGAAAAGAAGGGGAAAGTCCACAAGGTTATCTCTGCATCATCCAATGTACAGCCATCCTATGGTTCTGTGAAATTTAGGAACATAGAAGTTGCTAAACAGTTCGGACTGGTGCTTGTATTAAAGCATTAGGTGTTTGAATTCTTCTAATTTCACCAGAGGTCAAAATAAAGCAATTTTTATAATGTCAGCTCTCAATCTTCCCTCCTGTGCATTACAGCATCAAATATTAACAAACATTCTTACAGTTGCTGCAACTCCATTATTGCTAAAATATTAAAAGCCATGTGAGAAAAAGGATCAGACTTACTCAAGGGTTAGATATGTCACCAGCGTTATTCCCAAAAAAAGGGAAGAAGCACCACATCCTGCATAGCTTATCAGAGTTAATATATGATCATGTGTGGCACCTATTTCTGTCCGGGCCAAGTCCTGTGTTACAAGAGAAAGAATCACAGTTGTTTGCCACTACAGACTAAGAAAATTCCTTTATACATTTTCACATTGAAAAGAAATCAATTCCTGTTCTGCTTACTGCTAATTTTGGAGGGTTTCCATTAACATTTTTATGTGTTTCTTATTGTATAGTCCTACAGAATATCCAAACTAGTAAAAATATGCAGTATTTCAAGTATTCAACAATAAGTTGTGAAGCTAGAAAAGCTGTCCTTCAGAAAACACAAATTTAATAAGGATTCCAGGATCTTGACAAAATTATTCCTTCTGGAGCTTGCTTTGTAGGAGAAACTATTTTGTTTCAGTGGCAGCTGCCATGCTTGGGAACTGCACAAATCTGCTAAATGTCTTGGAGTGTGGGAGGATCCTCCCCGTCCAGAAAGCATCCCTCTGCAAAATCAGCTAGGAGACTGTGCTCTGCTTCTCCACAGCTGCTGAAGGAATATTGACAAGATTTTGTTGTTCCCTGGTACAGTTTCTCCTCTATTTGGTGAAGCTTTGAACCTCAGACCAGTAACCCACATCTCTGATGTTGAATACTTGTAGCTGTGCTGATTACTAAAGTGGCAGGGAGAGGTATGATCTTAAAATCAAACTGAATTCTCTTCATTTGAATGGGAACTTGAGCAAGTGTCCGAAATCTGAACCATCTCAATTCCTCCCTGTAATGTCACACATTTACTCCCGGAGAGGGTTTTTGCCTCTGGTGGAGCAGGGTGATGCTGACCTCTAGGGGAAGCATCCTAAGGCAAAGGTGGGGCCATACCCGATCCTGTGGGCTGTATCCTACTGGGATTAGACAATTTTAATCTACTCAATTTGCTTAGAACCTGCCTATCACTTTGCCTTTGTTGCAGCCCATTCTCAGGCAGTCATATCAGCTTTTGACATTTTACTTTTAGAGGCAGTTTTCTCTGTATTACAGAGAAATAAGAGGTGATACATAATGACATCTCCCACATTTGTATTAAACTTCAGTTTCTGATGGAGCATAGATAAAACATTCCAAAAGATGTAATGTCATTAGTTGCCACTGGCAGGTAATAAATTCAACACAGTATTTCCAACGCAGTAAATAAGACATTAAGGTTGATTAAGTTACACTGCAAAGAAGTACAAACTACATCTGTAAAATGAAATTGCCTTGAAGCAGGTGACATTTAGAGGACTTTATATCATTAAATTATTATAACTGTTTTATTTGTTATTACTGATTTTGGCAAAATTGCAGATATCTAACAGCTTGCAGAGATATGAATCTCCCATCTCTCCCCAAATCTAAAGATGACTTTGTTTAGTGCCACGGGACTTTTTGGGAGATGATTCACAGAGTACTTACCAGTAGGACTCCAAAATGGGTAAGATGGTTACAAAAACAGATTGTGTAATTCATATCTGTATATTCCATTTCACACCCCGATGTATTCCAACCACCCAGTCCATCTGTGTAATAGAGAAAAAGGGATTTTTAAGTAGAGTTAGTCATGCTCAGTCATTTATAGCTCTGCAGCACGCAGGGTTTGTGAAGATGAGCTCAAGTTAGTACAGATTGCAGGGTCATTTAGCAGCACACAAGTGAGATTTCACACAGGAACACATCTTCTGTAGCTGGCTGAGAACCTCAAAATTTGGATGAAAGCCTTTGGTGGAATGAAGAAATATTTAAAGTCATTTACATGTCTGCACACATAGAAAGCAAGAAGAACATAGTGTTGGGTGAGGTTGTGCTGCAGGATGTGGAAACACAAAAAGAAAGATGTATGTACAGGGCAGAGGATTTGTGTAGGCAGAGTTTAGCACTGGAAAAGCCAGATCTTCTCTGATAAGACTGAATTTAGAAGTGGTGCATTATGGCTGTGCTATACCTTTATCCATCTTTTTCTCCTTTCTCAAATATGTAGCAGCCAACATACCAAACTAATCTTCTATTGCAACTCACGAAGAATTAACATTTTGCAGTATTTTTAGGAGTTATTTGAGCCAATTGATGGGTTGATATTCATCATGTGTTTATGTCCACTTATCCTTTGTGCTATTTTAGGCTTGAAAGCAATAATTAAAGAGTGAAACATAAGATTATTTATGGGGAATGTATGACATATTCAGAAGCTAAGCTTCTGATTTTAAAATATATATATTTTTGAACCCTAATAACTCCAGAACAAGCCTCTCCCTCGTGCTCTGAGTTAACCCAACACACAGTTATCTCTCTGTGTCTGTTGAGTGCATGAGCCACATTCAAGGCCTGACCCCAGCGAAGCCCCCACTGACCTCCCTGAAGAAACTGTGAGAATTCATCAGACATTTCATATCATTTCTCCTTTTTTCTCAGTCTAAGTCTTCTTACTGATATAGTTGCAGCACTGTACTATGCCATACATGTATCCCTAGGGCTAACACTGATTACTGAGGTACCAACATCAAGCCAAAGCAGCAACACCGACTCAACAGGACAGCCCCAAGTCTCAAAGGTGCCACATCAAGGAGCCAAAGGCTGCTGGGGACAGAGCAAGTGTGGTAGCTCGGCAAATAACACTTACTGTTCTTCCCAAAGTCCCAAAAGACGCAGTGCACTGCTGCATTGCCCTGGAAGCAGAGAAGAGGAGGCTGTGACATTTATTCAGTACGTCTGTACGCTGTCTGCACTCACAGACGGTGCATCTTGCTCTGATAGTGTGTAACTAAGGCTGTTGGGTTTGATTTCCCCTGCACTGCTCTCTGATTTTTTGCATGGTGGTCCTGCAGTGGGTCTGTGGGTCAGGGGCTGCTGGACACTGGGGTTTGGAGAGCCAGCTGGGATATTGTGCATCTCATCCATGGCACTGAACCAGCAGAGTCCTGATTTTTGCCTCTCCCTTTACCAAGGGAAATCCTGGGAGTCAGTGATTTTCCCAGTTTTACCTGTATCTTTCAGTACTTTGTAGTCTTTTAAGGACAGCAGAAAATCTGACATATTGTCCGGCATAGACCAATTCCTGTGTCTAATCTCATTGGCTTCATGTGGTGTCTGAGATGTCACACCAAATTACTGGTGAAATTCAAAAGTTATGACTAAGACCTGGAATAACAACCTGAGATTTTACACAATTAAAAAAAAACCAACAAAACAAAACCAAAAAAACTCCCAACAAGAACAACAACAAAAAAACCCACAAGAAACCTTTAATTTAGATTTTCAGTGATTCCTTTCTCTGAAACCAGACAGGGAAGACATGTAAGAGCTGAACAGATGTAAATGGATATTCAATGTAATGTTTTCTCTTGGGGACATTCTAGTTTATTACTTATAATGCTGCAGCAAACTTTCCCAAGGCACAGATTCATTTACTTTTATTATTATTATATCATTAATAAAGTTTAATAAAGCAGAGAGTTTACAGGAAGCCAGCCTAACAGATAAGCTGTTAAGATGTGTGATCTGTAGACTGTCAAATATAATTAGGCAGAGAGCCAAAGATGTAGGTTTGGATGATAACTCATTAAATATTTAATTAAGATAATTTTAAAAGGTCGAGGGAAAAAATCTGAGAGATGCCAGATGGCCTGGTGGAGTAAAAATGACAGAAGAGAGGGGATATCTAGATAAAATTTCTGGGTATATATTTGCTAGAACTGAATGGAAAAAGCATATCTCCATAAAAGCAGCATTTCCAAGCTCTCATTGACTTGAACTTTAATTAAATTCATCTTACTGAATAATTTTGTTTTGCTCTGGGTTTGTAATATATTCATGTGGAGGCTGGACCTTAAACACTGACAACCCAGAAATGCTAAGGTGAAACTCAGTCAACAAGTTTGACCTGTGCCCATTTAGAATAAAATAGACTTCAGCTTTGAAACATCATTTTGAAACAAAACAAAGCATATTAATCTTGAAAACATCTTTGCAATGTCTTGGGTTTTTCTGAAGTTTACTTTTTTTGGTGACTAAACCAATTTGCTGAATTCAGAGCAAAGATAAATCACTTCAGTCCAATCCAAAACCTGCTGTTTTTTAGCAAATAAGCTGTTCCTTGAAAAAAAATTGTCCAGATCATAACAAGGAAACAATGAAAAGGTCTTGTGCTGCTAAGCATGGCTTTAGAGCAGAGACACAAACTTTGGTAACCTGCAGGAATTTATAAACACCGAGATCTGTGTGGTCTGTCAATATTTGGGGTTTGATGTAACATGGAGAGGTCAGGCAGTAAAGCGTTTCAAGTTTATTTTTCCTGTTCCTAGTTTACTGTAAGGGTGAGTGAAATCAGCTCTGCTTCACCTCATCCCCGAGGAAAGGAACACATCCTACCGTGTTCTGGTCTATGTGCCGAAGAGTGACAGTCACAGGCTCATTAAGGTTCTGAATTGATGCATTTTCAACACTGGCACTCACAACATAAGTGTTCAACTTCTCCATTGTTAAACTGTCATCCTGCAGTGGAAAAACACATGCATGCAAAAAGAATCCAAGCTCTGCCTGCTCCCATTTTTTTTCAATTGTACTTCTTGGAAATGGTGCTCAGCTAAACCCCATGGGAGGCTTGATGTAAAGTTGCTACTTCATTAGAAAATGTAGTTAGCTGCAATTCCAGGACAGTCTCCACATCAGCTGAAGCAGAACTGAGTCTCAGATGCATCAGCTGGATTGAGAAAGCTGTATAATTGTTTCAGTACATTTAAACATCCAGTTGTACATCATTAAGCTCATTAGACAGTAGGCACGACTGTGAATGTTTCTTCTGTGTGAAAAGTATTGCTCAGCACTCTGTATGCACCATCATTCCAAAGAAATGTCTCCCTTTTAAGTTATACCCACCCCTCCTGGAGTTAAGAAAATATAATAACTACTAGAAGAATCCTAAATGCTGCACATCAGTGCTGCTATTATTTTAATGGAGACATAAATCTTCATGATGTTTGGTACATCCTATGCACAGTCCTTAAGAAAGAGCTTACTATCAGAGGAAGGTCAGGGTATGTTCTTTTCCTGCATAACAGAAGGATTAGAATAACATCAGCTACAGAAAATGAACAGAAAGTCTAAGATTTGCAGACACCTCTCAGAGCATCCTTGCTACAGAGAAGGTTTTGCTGCATGAGCACATTTTCCCTGCACATTTCTCTCTCAGGCTGATGCTAACTGTGCCTGGAACAGATGACACTGTTGGGATTTCTTTTGCAGGCACTGGGAACAGCTGAGCCCATTCCTGCTGTGTTTGGGTTTGTTGGGAGTCGTAGTTACCGCGAAAAGTGAAGTAGTGCCAAAAAACTTAAACTGGATCTTCGAATGCTTGTCTGGGTCACAGTGCTCGATCCCTAGGAAGTTCTTCAGGGATTTTGGCAAAAACACTGAGGCCAAGGCATTTTTGAAAGGGTTTTCTTGCACGTTGATCTGCAGGAGAGAGATGACACGCTCAGAGCTGCTGTCCTCAGGTCAAACACACAACGGGACAGAAGAGCAGGAGGGTTGTCTGGTTTAGTCCATGATTCTGAGTGATACTTTGCTCTCACCTGGAGATCCACACCTCTGTTGTAGGAGGTAATGCCAAAGGCCAGTCCTCCAAACGTGCTGGGATCTGGACGCAGCACCAACAGAGCCAAGGAAGTGGTTGTGACCGACGTGTTTCTGTCTGCACAAGTCACCTTGTAGCCTATCACCTCAGTTGTCTGCAGGATACTTCAACAAAAGCAACAGGGAGAAAAAGAATACCTCTCTTGAAATGTTCTCCTGGCTTCATAACACACATCCAGGGAACAATCAGCTAAAACCCACTGCTGTGATTTATGATCACAAGCAGCAAGCCCTAGAGCAGAATGGGTCTGTTTTGGGGTAGATGCATTTTGTCTCCACAGGGTCAGGTGATGGCAAGCCCTTCAGTTAGCATGTTTCAGTGGCCTGAAAGTCTGGCAGGTGGAAGATAACCTCCTGCAGGGACCACACAAGGTGGTTCTGGGAAGACCTGAGTCAAAATTCACACCCAGTCAAATACTGCACTTCATCTGGAGGCAGTGACTTGTAAAATCTGCTTATTTGACTGTTTTCAGTCATCCAATTGTACCCTCAGGTAAAATATCACAGTTAGGATAAGTTAGTCTGCAAGGAACCTTTGGAAGTCTGTGCTTCAAATCCCCACCACTCCAAGCTCTAAAGGTAGGGCTGCTGCTCAGGGGCTCATCCAGTAAAACTCTAATTGTCTCTGAGGACAGACATTTCTGGGCCTTACTATCAGTGAGGTTTTTTCTAAGTGGACAGAACAGGCTGGAATGTAAAGGAAGCAGCAAATTAGGGTTGTTTAATACTCATGGGTATTAAGAGTCAGGGACAGCTCCACAGCTTGTTTGGCTCCCTTAAGGCTATTCAGCAATATGCAAGGAGGGATAAAACTCTATTGAAAATGTGAAAGACAGCTGTTCCCAGAACAGACTGAAGGAAAATCTTCCTGTCCTTTGGTCTGGCATTACCTTCATGCATCATCACCCCCAGACACACCAGGACTCTTTCAACCACAGCTGCCGTAGAGCTGCAAAGCCTGGAGTTCAGCTTCCCCAAAGTACCAACTCTATCTCCATTAAGGATCAAGAATAACATCCTTGTCCCTAAAACCTTACATTTCATGGGAGGAGAATTCAAAGCAATGGATATTTCCCTTAAAAGCCCCGCAGTCTATTTGAGAAGGCAGAGGTGGTGCGTGCTGGCAGCTATCACAGCCCCCACTCCACACACTGCAGTGTGACAGGCTTGGAAGAGAGAGCACACAGCCCAAACGATCACGAAGCTACCCAGTGCTTTCTCTCTGACAGATTTTCTAGGCTGTTTTTGGCTACTCCTCCTTGTAGACTCCTGAGTTTGGAAAAGCAATGCCGAGTTGTCCACTGCAAACAACTGGGCTGTGGCACAGGCGTGCTCCACCCAGAGCTTCTAATTTATCATTGCATAGATGTGTTTGAAAAGTCTTTATCAGCACAGGTAGAGGGGTGACAGAGATTTGTGTCTCCAGGCTGACCTGCCAACAGACCTCACTGCTGGGCCACAAAGATCACCTATGAGAGGAGGTGGCAGCTGGGCAGTCCCTGCGCTGCCTCCAGGTTCGGATGCCCACAGGGAAACAACACTGTGATGGTGACTTCTGCAGAACTGTTTCTGGTAAAAGCACCTTTGACACCACAATAACCAATTTCTGCTGCTAATAACCGCAAACATGTTTAAGATCCAAGTACAGAAATTGCTAAATCCCAGGGTGATATTTTAATAGAGTGAATGAAATAGTCCATGGTGCCATTTCAAATTAGGAAGCCTCTTCTGGGCAAGTTATCTTACTTACGTATTGGTTATTTTTCTAATGTTCTGATCTTCTATTTCTTGCCGTGAAATATACTCTAGTATAGACAGTGCAGTCTCTGCAAGTGTCACGCTCACATCTGCAAGCTGTACAACATCAGAAATTTTACTTGCAATGATTTTTAATTCTTCCACATGCAGTGTTGCATTTGGCAAGAGGTATAAAATATGGTGTATAACATCTTCTGCATTCTCTGGAAAACAAGGGAGCAGAGATGATTTATGTGGCATAGCTGTCTCTCTGGCTGTACAGCTACATGTCTCTATGTTAAATGCAGGAGTTAATCTCCTTCTCCTCTCTTTCCATATGGCCATAATGCTCCTGATCTACTACAAAATTATGTCCTAAGAATAAGTCAATAAGCCCTCAACATGTCAATGAAACGAATGTTGTCACCTGCTTTTGGATTTATAAATACTATCTGTAAATAATATTTACCTTTAACTTCTGCCATGTTTACCAGCATTTGTGAGTTTCAAATTAGACAAGATCCTCCCCTCTCCCCAAATGCTGCTTACCTGGTACCGTAGCAAAAGCAAATTCTGAATGGTATCATTTGAAAAAATGTATTTGCCATTCACCATCTCTGTAATTTTTTATAGAAGCAGAGTTTTACACCCTGGGAGTCAGAGAGACTGTGTGCAACTGCAGATATCTTTCAATGATCTACTGTTTTATGCACTGCTGAGGAGGTGGATAAGCTATGGTATTGGGTTTGTTCACCATTCAAACAGCTTACACTGTTTGGCATAGCTTAAAAAAGATATAACCATGTGGTAAATGTCACTATATCACTTATGTGAACTACAGCACCAACTTTTCAATTCCAGACACTGATTTGTGCTTTAGATATTATGAACTACTTTGATGTGGTAACAGAGAGGGTACGGACAGACAAAACCTGCCACATTATCCATTGGTTATTTTCTTAGTTCTAAATCAAAGTGTAGGATTTGAGACAAATCTTCAAAGTGATAGCTAGAGAATTTTGAAGCACTTGCAAAATTCATCAGCATTAAAACATCTTTAAGATGACCAGGTGAGCAGGATGCACATAAAGCAATTTTATCACTTCCCTTGTTCAGATGTCCAACATAAGCATTATGAGTAAAACTATTTTACTGTGACTCACTGTGTCACTGAAGTATCTGGTGCCTTACCTTCTGTTATCTTGATATCTTGGAGGCCTAAAATATTATTTGGAAGTTTTTCCAGTAGTTTGCATTCAGTCATGTTTGGTTTCTTCCAAAAAGCTTGCTCTAGTTCAATACTAATTGCACTGAAAAATTAAAACAATGTACATTGTTACAGGAAAAAAATACATAATAATGATGTTCCTCATATTTCCCACTCAGGTAACTAAGAATGTAATTAATTAGCCCAACTTTAAATGGACTTGCAAGTCAGATCTGACTTAGCACTTGTTCAGCAGAGTGGGAACAGAGCCCAGATGCCAGAGCCCTTTGAAATGCACCTGGAGGTACTGGAGGGGAGGGAGCCATGAAGGGATGGCACAAAGTGCTTGTGTTTTCCCTCCTTGCCCAAGCAGAAAGTCCTGAGGTCACTGCAGGTGATGGGAATGATGCCACACTCCCTCTTCCTGCAGCTCGTGCTGGACCAGCCCTGTATCCTTTGCATCCTCCTTGGCATGGCACTGCTGCCATGACAGACTATACCACCTGGTTTACCATGACAAAGCCTGGTGCTCCCTCCTGTTTTCCATGGAGGAACCAAAACAAGATGATCTCATCACTCACCAGCTCCTCTGAGCAGTCTGCAGAGGGTTTTTCCTGCAGCTGACCTCTGCTTTGGAGGCTGGACTTGTCAGTGGCCAGGAATAATTCCCCTTGTACCTTGTGTCTGAAAAGCTTTCTGGACAATCCATCAGTGCTGAGGAGGAAATACATAAAAGCTCTTAAAAAAGATTTAATAGTCAAAAAGAAGTTCCCTGTGACACACAGGAACCCAACTGTTCTGTGGACCTTGTTTCCTGATGCAAATGAGCTGTAATTTGCAAACTGCATAGGAGTATTTTACAAGTTTCCTATCTGCAAGAAAGCATTTTGTTTAGATTTGTTTAGATATTTTGTCTCTTCTTCTACAGTCTTTTTCTCTTTTGTTTGACAAGGTCAGTTCTCAGGTACAGTGTTAGTTTCCAGCATCACAAACCATATTCAATGACAGCACATCTTGCAGGCTTCTCTAATCTATCTGAAGGTGCTTTCACACTGCCTCTCATTATCCCATCAATGTCTTTCCTCCAGGCTTGTAGTTTTATCATCTGCAACTGGTATTTGGTAAGTCACTGGTATAAAATGTTTTAAATTTCAGGTATGGTCTGTTAGCTCTTACCTCTGTCTTACTTCTGTATTTTAAGGAGCAGCAGAGATTGTAACCAAACCAAGAAAGTACTTGTTTATCTCCTGAGGTTTGGTCCAGTATGCACAGACATTACACAAATGGCAGTGAGTTTGGTTTGAATGTTTGGCTTTGGTGTCCCTGGAGCATTGGCTACCAGCAGGGGCTCCTGGATTTATACCTGAATCAGCCTGACCTTGCCTTCATTGCAAAGGTGCTCAGACCTGCCTTGGCACCAGGATTCAAGTTTTAACTTACTTCTACTTGTCTGGAACCCAAGATTTTTATCTTGCTGTCGCTGCATGATGTTCTACAGCTTGTGCATCAGATGAGGTCAGTCGGGCTACTTGTTAAGGGTGTTTTCTAGCCTAACCTCTCCACAAAATTTAAATTTGATAAAACACTTGTAGCCAGAATCACAAAGCATGTGATTTCCAATGAGGTTTTAGTGAAATAATACCTATTGACTTCACAGCCACATCTTCAGGTTTCATATACAAGGATAATGGTCCCTCTTCATATGTGTCATTCAACAGCTGTTTGATCCTGAGACTCAGTACTTCTTGTATTTCCAGAGATGTGGCCTTTATAATTGCCTTACAGACGTAGCTACAAATAGAACACACAAACAAGGCTGCCATATTAGTAACATTTCACAATGTTTAAAGTTTGGAGTGAGCCAGTCATAAAACCCTGTGTCCACCAGAGGTAGAAGACTCCGTGGCTCCCTGGAAAACTATCTAACTAACCACTTTCAGTATCTCTGGTGGATTCCAGCTTTCCCTCCTCAGAACAGCTATTGTGCTAAGTGACTGGGCTGGCTGACTCTAGAAGGTTTGGAAAGACAGTACCTCTCACTGAGGTGACATGGGGGAAAGCTCCAAGAAGCCATGAGTGGATCACCTCAATGGACCTCTAATTTAACTGAGGGCTAACAAGTGAGATTTCCTTAGGGTTGGGATGTTTCATGTGTTTCCAATTCACTCCTGTCTCCACACAGTTGTCCCTCACTCCTCAAGGCTTTTCTAAACCATTTGCAACCCCTTGAAGATGATGGGAACCCAGCTCCCCCTCCTCCTGGCCTGGGGTCAGAAGGCAATCTGGATTTCCTACAGAAGAGGTGCAGGATTCATCCTGCTACCCCTTTTGGGCACTGTCCACTTACTGGCCCCAGTGAAGGACACTGCTCACAGCCAGCTCTTACAGTGCAGCACAAACCTCACAGCTTGCCATGGAAGCACTTTGAGTTTCCCAAGATTCAGGGTATGAGATGGGAACCTTGGATGCTCAAATGCATTTCCCCAAGTCAAGCATTACTCCATGTGTGCTTTTCTGGTCACTCTGAAGCTCAAACAGCCACGGAGGGGTATAATTCCTCCTCACCCTAAATATGAAATCAATATGAACTATGGAAACCCAGTTCAAAACCCTGGGTCTTACCTTTGTGACATCTGCTTTACCTTCCTCTTCAGGTCACATAGAGGGACACAGAAAGTTAGAAGCTGGTTAGAATCAGTGGGCACAAATTGGATTTTAAGGAAAGTAATCAGCACAAACTCAATGTTCTCATTAAAATGGAGCCTGTTGCTTTAAGTGTTACTGGAACCTGACTCCATAGAGCAGCCTTTGTTTCACAGTACTGCTAGAGGTCCATCAGGATGATTTAGTAATTTCAACAAAACACAGAACTGTCAGAATTTAGACCCTGCAACTACTATATCCTCTATGCAGAGGATAAGAAAAAGTAATTGTTTAATTCAGAAAATAACAAATTACATACACGAGTCCTCCTATAGGCACTGCTTTGTAGATAATTACCCCTGCAAGAAAAAGAGAATAGAAAATATTTCACAGTAGCATGTAAATAGCCATCACCTAAAATAGCTTCTGACCACAATGAGCCAGACTTTGCAGCAGAGAAGTCATCTTGAATTCAGCATGGATATATCTACAGAAATCACCAAGACCAAGTATAACAGAGATGCACCCCAACAAAAAGCTCTTCTTCCAGAATGGGACCCACCCTTCCCTTAGGGCTTTTCAAATTGGATTCACCCCATGTGAACAGTGCAGTGGGTTAGTGTATTGTCATTTGTAAAGCAAGCAGTAACTGTGGAAGTCAGAGAAGAAAGTAGGAAGTCAAAATAGGCACAAAAGACAAAACTCCATGTCTGTACAAGTGACACTTCTACAACTTGCTAAAATACCCTCTCAGCTGCTCACAGTTTGGATGTGAATAAGCTAGATTGGGCTAAAAGTTATGAAATAGGGGAGTCTGGTGCAAAGAAGCATTGTTTTTGAGCAGGATTTGGGAACTATAATATGCTTTTGTTAGACACGGCCATGCAAGAGCCAGCGTGAACCTAGACAGCCTTTGCATTGGGTAGAATACATATTTTAGGTGAATGAGCCCAGTGAACAAGATGTGGGTGTTCAACATGCTGGAAGTTGTGCAGACCTGGGGGTTTAGTTTCCACTCTTGTCATGGGCTGGTCAGTTGTGAAATGGGTATTTGGAATCTGGCTGCTAGAAGGACAGAGGGACACCACTACACAGCCAGAACCTTACCTGATTTTAAAGTCTGTCACAACAAATTCTTCTCCGGTAAAGATTATACTAAACTGGAAAAAAAATTAACATTTTTATTGACTTGATTTATCAATACTTTTTCTAGAGCTGCTTGTAAATTTAGAATTGTCATCAAAATTCTAAATCCTGATGAAAATAGTTAAGAATTTTTGCAAAGTTTTAACACTTTTCCCTTCCTTCAGAATTTCTTTTTGTCCTGTTAAAAATGTATTGGATAACATGATTCTGAAACACCACAATATTGTTACATTTCTGTGTTGTCCCAACAGTTTGTGTTCTGTACACTGGGGATTGGACTAGATGACCTTTAGGGGTCCCTTCCAACACAAACTACTCTATGATTCTACCAGCTCTCCTCCTCATTTGATACTTGCTAGAAACACATGAAAATGAAAAAAGCAAGCTACTCACCCAGTGTTCAAGAAGCCTCCTTGCATCATAGTAATCAGGAGCTCTCTTGGTTTTGTAGAAAAGAGAAAAGTTCATATGAACGTTAAAGAAGGTGACTGTAAGGAGAGAACACAGGTGAAATGAATCCCGTATTTTGCACAGCAGGTGCCTGTCCCCCTTCCCCTGTCCATACCCCTCTGCAGAAGCACAGTTGTTTTCCCATTCCCATGCTCACCAAAGCCCTTTGGGATATCCCAGACTGCAAGTGTTCAATTTTGGATTACTGCTGCATTGCTAGACATTTTATTGAAGAGCTCAAGGGCCCAAACACATGGTCATGTTATCACAGCTTAACAACTGAGTTGTGGTTCATATCTGAGCGTGCATGATCTCAGCTTTTACTGTCTGCTGAGAGTGCACAGGACAAACAGGAGGATCTGCTGACGTGGGACTCCTTGCTAAGCAGCAATGGCTTAAACATGTGTCACACCTACAGTGTCAGTGATGACCACAACAGCACTTAAAATGTCGCTGTTGAGCACTTACCTGGAACGACACCATTGGTGCTACTGGTCAGAGGTGAAGGGGGCAGTGTAGGAGCCCTTGTTGATGATGCTTTCCTCAAGCCTGCTGGAAAGAACAATAAAAGGCCTAAGAATTCATATGGGCAAAAGTGTAAGGAAGAGAATGGTCTAGGTGAGAGAGAGGTTTGAGTCCTTCAGTGAAGGTCATCGTAACAAGGAGCTGCTGTGGTTCCACAGACCTCTGCAGGATGAAGGCAAAAGGGAAAATACACCAACATGGGTTTTTATTTATTTCTCCAGAGGTAACTACAGCATAACAAGGGAGAAAACAGGATTTGTAGGGTTTAGATCCCAGGGAAGACCAGAGAGTATGCACCATTATCTTTTTTCATTTCTTGTGTTGAAGGGCAGTTTTCTGTGTTCCCTTCTTGCCTGTGTAAGCTGTGCCAGCCTTCAGAGAAAGGCACTGGTCAGACACTGAGTGCTAACGGGTTTATATGCAGTAATGGCTGTGAGAGGAACACTGATATTCGTGGTCTCTGGGTAAATGATAACCTGGCATAATGATTCCCATTTGTTTTCAAAGTAAAGAATTCCAAGAATTCATTTGTAGCTAATTTTCCTTGAAGTGAATCACCTTGTCAAGCCAGATATGACTTTTCATTTCATATGCAATCTGCCACATCACCAGGCAGACAGGGACAAAACAAGTGATGTTTGTCACATGTACTACAGAAAATTGCAGTGAACTGAATCACTGTGTAACATTACAGGCCTTGGTGCTGAAAGAAAAGCAGGATCACAACATTTTGCCCTAGAAGTACCATTTTCTTACTAGGTTTGTAATTCGTGTTTTTTACTTCACTCAAATGATTGTCAGAGACTTGACATTCTATCTCTGACTAAGAGAAATAAACTTAACATATGAATGCAAAGCCACATGTCTATGAATAAAGAGTGTGGTCAGAAATAAGCAGGATAAGACCATGCTTCATAAAACATTGTTTTTCTCTACAGTAGTTCAAGGTAAGGAGACTTACCCATGCTTGAAACACAACAGCCCATCTCTGACTCACTCAAATCAGTGGCAATATATCCATGGACAATAATAGAAACAGGGGCTGTTAACAACTTGAAGTCTCCTATTTTTATCCTAAATGACTTCAAATTATCTTATGAAGTTCAAAGGACATCCAAAGTCAAAAGCCCCTTCTGAGAAGGCACCCTACAGTACACAGGCTTCTGCTTCCTGGACACACAATTGATTTTCCCCTTTGCACTAAGCCACAGACTGTGAACTCAGCACAGAGTCAAACTGGAGCAAGGGGACAATAAAGTAACTGAAGTCCAGCTCTGAGTTGTCTCTCCAAGGTTGGTTTTTGCAGACTAAGCTCAGACCCTTCAGTCTTCAGCTCAGACCTTCAGCCTCCAAATGCTCCTCTGAGGTGCCAGTCTGTGTTTTGGTGTCACCTTATGATCTAGGAGATGGTGGTTTCAGCCTCTGTGGTTTCCTCAGCAGAGGTAACGTGCTCAGGGCTGGTGGAGAGCTGAGACAGCAGGCTCCCCCACAGCTGGAGGCAGAAGGATGGGGAGCAGGAATGATGCTGTTCCAAAGATCAAACTGTCCAGTAACCTGCTTTCGCAGAGCACAGTCCCCATTGCTGCCGGGTGTGCAGAAAGCTGTAAAAATAGCAAGCCTGCTTTTCCTGTGCTTGATGAATCTTTGGTGTGCATTTGGACATCTCTCCTCTTTGCTCAGGCCTTTTGCATCTGAGATAGTGGTTAACTTTGGAAATGAGAGACCTAATCTACTTTGTTTTACTCTTCCATCAAAACACTAGCAAGTCCAGGAGCAATGCCACATTGCCATCTCAAATCCATTGCCTGCAGTAGGTCAGAAACATAACCTGACATAATGGACATTTGCTGATTCTTTATTTGGAAAAAGATCCAGGCTTAGCTCACTGAGCTGCAAGACAGACCTCGATGTTCCATGCACAGAGCTCTTACCAACACTAACACTGTTTGACAGACAAGAAGCCAGAAGTATCTACTGAATTAAAAGTCCCAGAGACAAAGGAAACCAACTCCTCAAAAGAAAACAGAGGAACCTGGAACCAAGGGGATGTGCTTTTTCCTCCAGCACCTGTGCACAAGCCCTCCCCATCCTCACATCATACTACCATGAGAATACCCAGAGAGCAAAACTCAGAGGACCTGGCCCTCAGTGCTGCGGAGAGGCAGATATTCCAGCATCCCTGGGGACTTTAATTCCACAGCTTAAACTTCCAATGGAAACCTGTATGCCTCCCTGTGGTGTGAAGCTGCAGAGATGGTTCTGTGAGCCCCAGTGTGATGTTACAAATAATAAGTGCCTGTTTTCAAACTGACAGAAAATGAGTGTCTTGTAACAAGCTTTTTTTAAGAACCACTGCCACAGAGGAAGTGTGATGAGAACACAGGAGGGCCAATGCCGTGCAGACATGATCTATCAGTGGAATAAATATTTCTTTCCTACAGAACTATAAGCACAATGTTAGGCTGTGATTTATCAAGCCATATCCCAAGCTGTTTGAACATCTGGGGTTTAACTTGACCCCCTGCCTGTTCCACTGCTGCAGAGCCTCTCCTAGGTAGGAGGAAACTGCACAGAGCTGTGTGATTACAGGCTTCTGTTCCTGTTGTTATCAGTGTAATATTTCAAAAACCATTGCCTCAGGGGTGATGTATGATAGCACCCAGAGTCAGGCAGGATGAATCAGAAAAATCTGCTAGGGGAAAAAAAAAAACAACAGAAAAAGGGCCAAACAAAGCCCCATATCCATTCTTACCAGGGATGTAACTCAGAATGCTGTTTCCATCTCCTGACAAATGAAGCATAATTACAACTTCACAGATTATAATTTATTTCTTTCTCCTTCTCATTATCACCTGAAGAAAAATGAAATCTGTTTATTCTCACATGTCAGGGATCATTACCAGCAGGCAGGTGTGGGACTGGCCACCTGCATCCTGTAACTGCATTTGCTTTAATTAATATGTATGTAATTCCATTCACGAAATGAGGGCTAAGGCATGATGACAGATGAAGCTACAAAAATACTGTGCCACTGATTTTTTTTAAGTCCTAGTCAAGGATTTTCATTTGATAATTTAATAAATGGTTTATTTGGCATCCTGTAAATAAATATGTATTGTTTCCAATAGACAAGCAGCAAAAATTAGACTAGCCAATAAGAGAACTGCAATAAATACATTTCTGTATTATTAGCAGTCATTTTCAGATTGTGAATATTCGGCCCTTTCCAGGATTATTTAACATTAAGAAGAAAATCAGAAAGGGGTGTGTGGGTGAGGTAGGGGGAGGAAGAGATGAAGATTGAGTCAGTGAGAGGATGAGAACACACACTTTTACTTCTACACTTTTAGCAAAGACCCAGCTGAGCTGGAAAAACAAAGGATTATCTTTAAGATCTCTGGGAAAAAAGCAAAGGCAGAACAATGACTTTACTTCTACTATCAAGCAAAGCCAGTGCAATTGCTACAATAATTATAGCACTTAAAAAAGCCAACACACCTTCTTAAGGCATCCTCTGGCTATGTTTGTGTGAGAAGTTTCACTCACTTTGCCTAACTGAGGCCTGGCTTTCCAAAGATGATGTAGGATTTCCAAAACAAAGCAGTCTGCCCAGCTTCACATCACAACTGCATAACCAAGCAATGCAACATAAAACATCCATAAACAACACATATAAACACAAGAGGCAAGCCTTGCAGCTAAAGAATGTTATTGGGCATAAGTAACAATCTCAGACATGACATTGGTGTTGACATGGCACTTCCCCATGACATTTCATTACACGGCAACATTTTGGCACAACTACTTCTTACATGGATGCTTCAGATTGCCTCACGTAGATTCAATATGTATGATCCCATATGGACAATCCACATGAACTACAGCCAGGTGCACCTTCCCCTGTCTGACAGATGGGACATCAATCTCAGTACATGTTTACACTGCTCACTGTTATCCCTACCTCGTGTATCATCAGCATGCCTCTGTGCTACAGCTCGCCCATGAATTCCAGTTAATTAAAGTAAGGAGCAGATTTATAGTGGAAGCGAAGGTCTTGCCAAGATCTGACACACGACGGATTCTCAAACATGATTAAATTTTAATAACATCTCTGTTACTTCACAACAATCATCTTGGTTATTGTTCTTAGCAAGATGTCAGACTGCAGTAAGGCTCCTCCCAGTGTGGATCACAGAGTGGATCCAGCAGTTCATGGCACCATAGGCAAAAGTAGCCTCGGTGCTTGTTGGTGTAGTCCCTCACTTGTGAGACGTGCTGCTGTCTCTCTTTGCTGACAACCTTTAAATATTTGGCCCAACATTTTGCAGACTGAATGTCCTATTCAGGCTGCACTGGAGAATCCTAACTAGAGAAAATCACCTGGTTCTTGAGGACTGCTAGAGGGAAAGAATGCTTTGACTATTGAGAGCCTCTCTCTAACATGCTTTGTCCCACTAAAAAGATGCTCAAATTCACCCAGGTTATTTTTTTTGAAAAATCAAAGCCCAGGAACACTGAATGGAGGCTTTGATCTTAGGTGTTAGACTTTTCATCATCAAACATGACTAAGCTTCTCACGACTCCTTGCCAAGTCAAGCACACACCTTTCCCACAGAGTGAATGGGCCCAAAGGCAAAGGTATTAATTGGAAAAGGGAAACTCCCTCCTCATCGGATCATGCCTCCCCCATCCAGGGACACAAGTGGGGAAATGGGTCTAGTGACAGGCAGTGCAGAATGAGGAGTGCTTGGATAAAGGCAGTGGGGCAGGGAGCCAAGAGACAGATGGGAAGGTTGTAATTTACAGCAATTGTTATTAGTGCCTCTGTGCTTTGGTGCAGAGTGAGGGAGGGTGCAATGAGGGAGGGGTGGGGAATCCCTCTGAGCAGAGGTTTCATCGGCAGTCAGTGATTTCCTAATGATCTCATTGCCTTGGGCCCTGGTCCCATGAAAACTGGAGCAGGAGATGGAAAAAACTGCAGTGAAGTCAGAAAGTGCTGCACGTGATGGAGATGTGCTGTCTGATGGGATGCTCCTTGTATTCTCAAAGTGGACACAGAAAATACCAATTACTTCATACTGTGACTGCTTTCCCTGTGAAGCCATCAGCTTACAGACAATTAGCAAAGATGCATTCACTGTTACTGTGGAGCACCTAAACATTGTGACATATCATTAGTTTTACAGAAATTAGTCAGTCTATCGGTCAGTTAGACAGTCTTGGGTTTCTGTTTTAATACTGTGTAGTTTAAATACCATGCAGTACATACAGACACCAGGGCTGACCCTAAACACTGCTAAGAGTGCTTGTCCATGAAGCAGCACCATCTGGGGCACACAACACACAGAAGCCTTGCAGGAAAGTGATTACTGCCATTACAAGTTGCCCAGAGAAGTTGTGGATGCCCCCAGAAGTGTTCAAGGCCAGGCTGGATGGGACTTTGAGCAACCTGGTCTAGGGGAAGGTGTCCCTTCCCATGGCAAGGGGTGTGGAACTGGATGATCTTTAAGGTCCCTTCCAAACCAAATGATTCTATGATTCTATGATACTATTATCTAACTAATGGCTTGAGTTAAATATTTTTAAACATTTTGGAAGAAAGAAAATTTCAGAGTCCCACCTACCTCGCTCTTTGTCAGGCCAGCTCAGTAGCAGATTGGTGCCCCAGCAGAAGGATGAACCACTAGAAGGCTCATCCAAAAGATGCCACCTGCCAGCAGCTTCCAGAGGATTTCAGTGGCAGAGCTTGTCCCTGCCAGCTTTACCTCATCCACAACCTCTGTATCAAGAAGAGCCTGCGTGGGGTGAGCAGGCAATGTCATAAGCATGGCCACAGCTCTGCCCACCCTGGTCTCAATCTCAGCAGCAGTGACTCAGAGGCCATTAGACAGCCCCGAGCAGTGGAGAGTTCCCTGCTCTGTGTGTGATCCCCAGCCACGCACAAGCCCCAGGAAGATAAAACGTGGCAGACTCACCGCAGCGCAGCCGAGGGTCCGCGACGGGGAGGACGCTGCTGAAATTCCAGTACTCCTCCTTCCAGCTGACAGTGCTGCCCATGGCACAGCCCAGCAGCTCCTCCTGACCCAGCACATGGTCCCACAGCTGGAAGTAGTACAAGCTGCCGATGAAGCTGTTGCTGATCCTCACGATGAAGCCATCCCTCCTCTTGTGCAGGTGGCCCAGCACGAGGCTGCCGTTGGGTTTCAGGCACCCCGCACTGCCCAGGGCTTCCCTGTGCACCAGGTTCCCATTGCAGTAGACCTCCAGCAGCTGCTTCCTGGTGTCCCACAAGCAGCACACACTATACCACACAAAAAGGGCCAGGTCGATCTCAATGTCTCGTTTGGTGCCAAAAAGATACAGTCTCAGGTGCTTGTTTTCTCCAGAGAGCCCGAGTTCTAAGTCACTTATGTCAGTGGAGGTGGTGTCAGTGTCATAGGAAAATGCTGCCCACGAGCTGACATTGGCTGTCCGGTTTAGGTCAATGCACACTGTGAACTGACAGAGTTGAGGGATGCTGAAGTTGACCAGGGACACATATTTATCATTTCTTCCCAGTAAATCCAGTCGTTCTCCATGCAGATCCCGTGTTTCTGTAAGAAAATGGCATTGGGAAAGAGTAAAGAAGGAAAATGAAGTGTCACTTCCAAAGAAAAAGCTGCCATATGGACTCATTTGGGTTCTTCCCTGAATGATGATTAAGAAAATTAAAACTTTCTTCTATTTCTAGTTTCTACTGCCTTTTAAATTTAATTGAGACCACCCACACTACCAGTAAAGAGAAGATGAATTTAACTTTGCAAAGGAAAAGTTGAAGTCCTCAAGACATGACAAATAGGAATCAACACAGAGTTCAGGTGTAGGGTCCACGTGCTCCAAGCCCCATCCAACTTGAACACAGCCTTGAACACTTCCAGGGATAGGGCATCCACAACTTCTCTGGGAAACCTGTTCCAGTACCTCACCACCCTCAGAATTAAGAATTTCTTCCTAGTATCTAATGTAAATCTAACCTCCCTCAGTTTAAAGCCTTATGAAATCCATGGCTAGTGCTGGTATTGCAGAAGATCTGTGGCAGAGTTTTAGGGGATGTAGAGAGGTGGGTGTAGCTACTCAGTTACAACTCAAGCAGTGAGTAATTCATTACAGCACATGAAAGTGCAACAGCCATCTTCAGCCGTACTTGCCAGCAGCTGCAGGGCCCAAAAGGGTAAGAAGCCAGTTCCCATGGGTTTCTCCAACATTTGAAAATCCCTGTGGGATGTACAACTGGCAGGACTGGGACCTATTCCACAAAAGACCAGAGCACCATTGCACCCCATCAGAGACATGCTGAGACACCACCCTTTTCAGGGGTCAGGCCTTCCAGTGCCTTATAGCAGACAGATTTTCTCAGCTAAAGCTGAGAGAAATTTGGTACATTTGTCAAGAGCTAACCATTAATTCAGTCTTTTTATTAGGGAAAACTTTCCTTGGTTTTCCTTGACTACCTTGTGTGCTTGAAGTTACCCTAATGCTACAGGGTGCATTTTGGAAGTAAGAGTTTTCTCTGTGCCCTGCATTGTTCTTGAGGAGAGGTCAAAGAAATACAAAAACCAACATAGAACTAATTATTGATTTGTTGGGATTTACAGTGGAGTGAAAGGATGTTGAGTGTTCATGAAGCACAGATTGCTGTGTTTGACCCAAAACCTGAATTATTACTGCAGAATTTGCTTCTGTCAGTAGCTTTGGGCTTTTCCAAGGATACCACAGAGCAAATGCACAGCTCTTATTTTACAGTGACTGAAGTAAAACTAGAAATAAACTATACAGAAATGCAGGAGGAAAACCAGTGAATGATGACAAAATTGAGAGGCTTTTTACCTCCAAACGTGGACAACAGTTGTGATGCAACCAAAACCAGACATTTCACTCCTTGCTGTATTTTCTCATTTGTACTCACTCATCTGCAGCCCAGACTGAACCAGCATCCCAGGAGAGAGTGTGCTTCATGTCCAGACTTGTAGGTCTCTGGCCAGCATGTGCTCAGGGACCTCAGTACCATTTGCATGGAGAAGGGAGAGGTCCAGAGCAAGAATAGCTGCTGCTCTGGGGCAGAACAAGAGGAAAGTAGGCTCCTGTATGGATACACTGTGTGTACACAAACCAGGACACCATCAGACATCCCCTGGGTTGGGGGATGCCCAAAGCCCACTGGCAGTGGGATTAACCATCCCTATGGTTAATTCTGAGGGAAATTACTGTACCTGAAAGGAAGAAAAGATGAGCAGCAACCACCAAGATGCAAAGAGCCTTGTCAGCAGAGGGCTGTCCAGGGCCACACAGGAACCTCTTCATTTTTTGTGCGTGTTCTGAAAGAAAGATGTTGGTGAGCACCCCTTTCCTGCACACTTGCCTAAGAAATTCAAACTGCTCCTGCAATTTGCTGGAATGGTATTCACAGCACAGGACTCCAGAATTCCTTGCTCCTCATGACTGGGCTGAGTCACTATATCAGTCCTCTCTGTAAAGGTCACAGCCTCACAAACCCGCTGGTTTCTGCTGGTTTCTAAAAGAGATGAGGTTTACACAACTACACTGTGAATGTTTTGTTCATCTGTCACAACTCTGCAAACATTTTGTTCACCTGTCACAACTCTGCAAACCTGTTAGCAACTTCCAATCTGCTTTGACAAAAGCAGACCTTGTTTGAAGTGGTGAAGTTCCTAAAAACATAGGGAAAACAAGAAGAGAAAGCCCCGCCAGTGCCTCTCAGCTGGATGTGCCAACCCATGGTTATACCCCACAGACTCTGTGGGATTGTAGACCATGGAGCAGCAGAGAGGGCAAGAGGTACATGGAGAAACAGGACACAAGGCTGCTTATGGACAGCACAGCCAAAAAAGTATTTATTCTCACCCCTGGGCTCTGTCTACAAACAAATTTTCAGCAGTTTAATTGAGTCCTGGGAACATGGGGAAGGGCTAGTTCCAGTATAAGCATACACTGAACACGTAAAGCAAAATCCAAATATGCCACTCTAAACTGAAAGGAGTTTATTCTGTTGTGTGCTTCAGTCTGACTAAAGTTGCTTCCAAAATGACTCCAGTTAAACCAGAGCAATGGAATGGACAGGCAGCCTCGATGCCCGAGAGCCCCAGACTTGCTCTCTGTGCCCTGCACGCTCCCCCTGGTGCTCTGTCCTCTACTCACTTCACCAGGCACCAGAGGGAAGGGATTATTCTTGGTTTAGGACCACATTGGATTAAATCTTCAGCTATTAATGAGTTACATAAAATGGCTGTGAGGGATGAACTAGATTGTCAGATAGTCTAAGCTGGCCAAGTTCATTCAGTGGAGTCACTTGGCTTCACATGAGACAGAGCCCTCACCTGGGGCTCCCCACAAAAGGTTACGACACCCTGGCCACTGACAAAATGAAAATTGTCCCTTTGTGTTCAGACATGTAAAATAAACAATAGAAAATTACAACCCCCCCCGAGCTAATAACAACTGTCTCCATTTCCTTTAAAAACTGCACCTTATAAAACTTACAAGGTTAGGAAATGTCATCCTGGTGTCCATTTACTGCTGTGACAACAAATCTCTTCTCTCAGGCTTCTCCTTTATTACTCCAGTAATTATTTTCTGACTTTTGCAGTAACACTTAAGGAAAAAAGCATTATGCTCCCAGCCCATAGTACCTAAATAGGACTTATTATATATTTTCATACTTTCTTTTAAAAACACCATAGTTATATAAAGTTGCTGCTCAAAAACTCACCTCCCTGTGTAGGACAGAAATCAAGGTAGATTTTGCTCCAGACTGTTTCTTCTGTCAGGCGCCAAAAGACCAGTGAAGAGGATATGAAGTGAAAATCAGGTGGGATGTTGTGATGTTTTCACTGGGTCAGGAAATGAAGAAAAAGTTATTTCTGTTCTGAAACCACATTTCTTAAGTCCTGAAAAGTCTGCTGTGATAACAAATCTCTGCTCCCAACCGCCTCTTTTATTACTCCAGCAATGATTTGTTGACTTTTGCAATAACATTTAAGAAACAAATCATTACACTCCCAGCCAGTGGCACGTCACAGGGTCATATTCAGTTTTGTCCAGAGCAAAGTCCAGAACATGAAGTATTATAAAACATAAATTAGAAAGAAACAACTGAACTGAAGAGATCTCCTTGTTTCTGATTCAAAAGGGACTGCATTACAGAACATCAGTTGTAATTTCCCCACAACAACTCTCTAGCCTCTGACTGTAGTATGTTGCACTATAATGTAGAGATCTACACCAGTATCTTTCTTCCCTTCTGCAAGATATTAATTAGTCAAGTTAAAAAAATATTAATTATTGATTCCTGCTGAGAAAGAGTGAGATCAAGGAGTGAGTCGCCCCAGGGAAGGACAGTCCTGCATGAATGTCACTTTGGTCAGCCAGAGGTTAAGTCTTGAATTTTGTGAGTTTGCTCCAGAGGGATAAGATGGCCTGGGGAGCTTGCAGCTGTCTCCTGCAAGAGTGTGATCTTGAACGTTTTGGCAGTGGCTCCCAGCAGTTCAACTCCCTTACTGGATCTGATAGGGACAGAGATAAGAGGAAGTGGAGGGAGCGTGAAGCTCCCAAGGCTGCTGAAATCTGCAGCCTGCTCCTCCAGACAGTCTCCAAACAGGATGGAAATGTCCCTCTCTTCCGCTTACCTACATAATCTATTTATCCATCTTCACCTTCTTTCTGATAAATCCATCTCCTCCTCTTGGTTTCCCCCATATAAATGCCCAGACTTCGAGTTTCTCCCAAAAAACTATGACAGCACTACTTAGCCAAACTGCTCCGTTTCTCAGGAGCTCCTCTCCTGCCTTGCCTTCTCCCTGTTCACCAGCACAAACCCTCTCACAGCCAAGCACCCGTGGCCGAGCACCCTCCTGCCATCCACCAGCCTCAGCCAGAACGTCTTGGTCTCCTTCTCTTATGGGCAGATCATATCCATGAAAATTGCTGGGCATGCACTGTGTGTCTCCCCAAATCCATGCTACACAGGTTCTAGCATTCACAAAAACCCTCGCATGGAGCTTTCTTTCTGAAACAGGGACTGTGCAGGACTTTCCGAGGATTTCCATTTCCTCCATCTTCTTTTATCCGTTTCCATGTTTATCAGTTTGCTTTGATGTTTGTAATTATTCAGCACAAGTTGGTTATCGGCTTCACTAGAGATGGTTGCAAAGGGTCTGGAACACCATGCGAGGGCACCTCCTCTTTAACACTGAGTCACAAGAAGAGCCTGATTGAATAACCAGCATCCTGCATCCACGTCTGGCCAAAACTTTCCTAGGAAGATTTAGAAGAGGACCCTTAGGACTCAAAGCAGGAAAAGACCGTGATTGAGGAGTGCAATGAAATGAGAGAAACAGAGAGTGAAGACAGAACGCATTCAGGCTCACTAGGGCCTTTCAGATAAAAAGAAATTTTGCTTTACATTGGATGAGCGAAGATTTTTTACTGGGAGGTTGCTATGGCGACTTTTCAGCTCTCCCAAACCTCCTCATACTGTAATTACATCTCCAAGCCCAGGAGCTGGGAATCTTTGATTCTTTGGAGGAAGAATGTGGGTGGCTGACTCTTCAGGATGTTTGTCAACCAGACATTTTTATTCTAAAACAAAACAAAAAGTGCCTTTAACAGCTGCTTACAGTTTCTATGAACCCTTCTGGCCCCACTGGCTGCCATTCTCCAAGACCTTCTTGAATAATTTTTAACTAAGGGGCTCTCTTTTCAGAACACCTCCATCCTGCAAAGGTTATTTAGAGGATGTTTATCTCCCAGTTGGGCTGAGCTTTCTTTATACCACTGGACATTTCAATTCGGTCCCTGAACTAAAAAGTGCATAATGACATGAGTATTTTCGCATTTCCTAAGCTTTTGTTATTTAATTCAGTTGTCACTGACTGAGCACTGAAAGCACAGAGGCTGTGCAAATATTATCCACATTTTCTAGTCAACAGACTTACCCAGTCCTGCACAGCTCCCCTGAGATAACACAACATTAAAAAAGAGTTAAAGGCCCAAAATACATATCCTTTGAATCAGAAACAATCAGAACACGGTTGTTCAAAATAAACAGTATAAAATATTGAACAGCAAAGGGATCCAATATTATGTTTCAACACACAATTGTAATTGGTTTTGTTCAAAACAGAAGCATCAGGTGCCTTGCACGGTCACACAGCACAGAGACCTGGCTGCACAG